GATATTGTCATACTTTGGACCTCCAGAAAGACAAGTAACATGCCTTGAGCATCCCCACAATACTGAGGTTGTGTACTTTGCTCATGACCAGTCCATATCTGCGTTGACTGAACCGCTTCCACTTGTTAGCCGCTGCCTTGACTGTGCTTTGTCTTCAGGTTTGTATTGGTAAAACCTGCTTCCAAGTCTTGATTCTACTTACTTGTTAGAATTTCTATCTAAGGCTCGCCTTTGTCTGCAGCTGATGTGGGCACAGTTTTGGTATCATTGAACAGCAAGTCTGTTCAACATTAATTTTTCAGTCAAAATTATGTAAGTTGAACCAGTTGAGATGTCTGGTGTTTGCTGTTGTTTCTGCTTTTAGTCATCAGTCATCTTTTATTGGAGCACCGACCAGATTAATTTTTCCTTGCAAATTGTTGTGGGTGATCATGTACCGTGGGCATCATCTTCGACATCTCATCCCTTCTTATAAAGAGTCATCCATTTGTAGACTGCTGTTTTTTGTGGAGCATTGTCCCCATGAACTTTTCATAAAGCATCAGATATTTTTCTGGTGATTCTTTCACCTAGATGTCATCATAAATGTGATGTTCTTGTTTCAAATTTAGCAGAATTTGTATTATTCTGATAGGTGCTCTTTTCAAACTGTTGGCCTTAGTGCCTTAAACTATTGTGTCGTTAGAAAAGTCCTGATGTATTTTTCTATGCAGAAATGCATTATGGCTTTCGACAGCCCAGTAGATTGTGTTCAGACATAGCAAGTTAATGTGCATTTATTTTGGTGCAGAAACTTTTAAAAATTTACATATAAAATTTTCATTATAAGTATCTTCCATGACCTTTTGAAAACTGCTCATATAGTAGATGGACTAAACCCAAGGAATGGAGATGTGTGATATTCTTAAACTGGTTGTGCCACTAACTGACCATGAGTCTTGGTTAAAGAACTTGATTTTTATATGCCTCAGCTTACACAAGTGCAAAATCGTAGGGCCAGCCCAAACAATCTTTTAGTGCCAGTACATAGTGAGCCTTTTTACTTTGGAGAATTGTTTTATCATGACAGTAAATGATTGTGCCTATTTTTGTACTTTCTGTATACCCTACCATGTTCATTTTTAAGTGAGATCTATTTAGTTTTATAAAAGACAAAATTTGTGGTGCTATGTTTTTTATGATTGGTACTATAAACCTCTGAAAACTGCTTTTTAATAGCTTGCCATCTACTTCAAAGGCTACAGCCCAGCAGTCTTTGAGCCACAGTTGGCATGAAAGGCAAAGGAAAGTCTCTGATGGTTCAAGAATTGCCTTCAGCTTGGGGATCAGGCATGTGTCCAAAGGGTCTTAGTTACATCAATGAAATCTTGGATAGTCTATCCAAGAAATTTAAGCCAGAAATAATCTGTTATGTGTCTGTAATATTTTTAAATTAGGTGCATGCCCAATAATCTTGAAGGAATTTCGACTCATTGGTAAGAGGATGGGGATTGCTTATAAGCTGGAACCTTATTTTTAATCCTGTGTGGTTCCAAACTATGGTTTTATTTATTTATACCATCAGTGAACTTTATTAATTAAAAAAATTATTGGGGAAATATTTAAACATGTTACATGTAGTATTGTGTGATTTTCTTTCTTCTTTCTTTCTCTTTTTTTTCTTTCTTTTTTTGCAGAAGGATAAGTACGCTTACCAGAGAGATTGAGAGGGAGAGGAAAAAGCATTCCCATGTAGAATAGTCATGTCACAATCCCTTCTCAGTCTCTCCCTCCTCTTGTGAGGTTGAGCATACACACATAAACACACACACACACACACACACACTTGCCTGGTATGTTTCTCAAGCCACTCGATCTAAGAGTTGTACTGCATGGTTGACCATGTGGATCCACCTACCATAACCACCAGGCAACAGAGCCAGTTCACATTGTGTGATTTTTCTAAGGAAGACAATAGAAACCTCAATCTGAGTACTTGATTACCAGGACCTTTTATCATCTACTTGCATTTATGTACAAAGATGTTTGGGTGATACCCTTTTCTTTCTTCTGTTAAGATAGTAGTGTCATTACCAGAAGGTAATTCCTATGGATAAAATAGATCTAAAGTCTTAGCTAATTCATAAGATACAGAAACAAAAATGCCCTAAAAAATATGCTGCTTACCTCATAGTGTGGCAGTTAAGTTCTGAGCAGGAAGCTGGATCCTACATGGCCAGTCTGAGTCTTGATGAGATGGAGGATTGGAGGGAAAAGATTGCAGCCTAACCGGTCCCCATCAGGAGTTTTCTCTCTCTATCTCTCTCTTCCCCCTCATATTTATTCATGTGTACCCTGGCATTAAAAACAACAACACTATTAGCATTCATTTCCTTTGACATTTCATTTCCTTAAAAGTATACTCCCAATTTCTTTCAAGAGTGTTTTTTATGAAATATTTAAGATATACAAAACAGCAGAAAATCTCGTGTGCCCACCGTCTAGTTTAAAAAATAGAATGTGACCAGTGGACTGAAAGCCCACTGTGTGTTGCCCCCCCTTATCAGTTTATCTTTTTTTTTAATAGAGATTTTTTTGCTGTAGGGTGCATGTGTTCACTGAGAAGACAGAGAAAGAAAGTGAGAAATCACACCCCAGGGGAGATGTAATCCCTTCTCCATTCTCCTCTTGGGATTTTGGGCAAGCTTGACACACCCTTCCACCCCCACCCCCATGGTGAGTTTAAGCTGCTGATCTGGAACTCAAAGCATGGTTGACTTTGTAGTGGTCCAGCAATGTAACCACCCTCTATGCCATCTGCTGATCTCTCTGCTTATCTTTTGTGCTAGAAGTCATGTTTCTGAACTCGCTCTGTTCTAATCAAAGAATGATGTTTTCCTAATACTTACAGAATAAAGTTTTATCTTTAAAAATGGTATTCAAAAGACTTTTGACATTCTGGTTCAGAGCAGGCCTTCTAGTCTCCTTGCTCTAGCTCACTGACTCATCTGCCTGGATTTTGTCTTCAGCACTGTTCAGTGTACTTAATATTTTGGTTTGGTTTTATTTTCATTAGCATTTTCCCTTCATCTTATTCATTGAAATCATGCCTAATGAATACACTTTCTACACTGTAATTTATAGTCCTTTAAAATAAAATGTATTTTCATAATTTCTGTATTATGTCTCACTATGGATATTCTATTGATGTTAGTTTCTTCCACTAGATTGAAGGCTTTTTGAAAGATGATTTAATTTTATGATAAATCAGTTTTATTTATTGTTAGCAACCAATAAATGCTTATATTTTTCTCATGAAAAATACTGATAATTCTGTTTTGCTTTATAACAATCTACCTTACACTTAACTACTTTATAAACATGAGGTATTTGTGGTCTCTGAGACTTCTAAGAAATCTAATTTTTTTTAACTATGGGTAAAAATACCTACTATCTTGTGTTCATCAGTTTTTTAAAAATTTACATTATTTTATTTTGTATATTCTTTTTTTTCATTCATCTCTATTTGATCATTCTTTTGATAAATTGATTGAATGCTCTCTGATTAGTAAAGATGTATACTGCTAGATACTGGTACATTGACTTTAAATAATCTAATGTAAGATTCATCCTGATTTAGCAAGTTTTGTCTATCTCCTCCTATCTATTTTCTGTGTAGTTGTCAGAATGATTTCTCTTAAATGCATAAGCAGTTCAGGTTAGTCTCTCTTGTGATACTGTCTTTGATCAATTTCAGCCTGTCAAGCTGGCCCCTACTGTTGCTTAAATGCAAAGTGTCTCTGACCCACTCTAGGGCCTTTCTGCTTGGTATTTGCCCAATTGTGGTTGCCAGTGTCTTGGCTTTCAATAGACCTGGCTTCTCCTTGTCAAACCTATTCAGTCTGCCCAATATAGAAAGGGTACCCTCTAATGATATCTATGAAAACTCTGTGGGTAGATCCAGCCTGGTACTGCAGTTTGTAGCAAACTGAACTACATCGAAAGTCACTTGGCCAGTGATGGTTTCAGATCTCTGGGTTGGCCTAAAAACGTGTGTATGCCTATGACCTTATAAGCTGGAGGCTGGGGAGTGAGGAATCACAGGTGTAATGAGAACCTGTGGAGGGAACTTCTCTCCATCCCTGTCTCTCTTTCTCTCTCTCTCATGCATGCACATGTACTATCATGAATAAAATAAAATAAAACTTAAATGAAAACTGCTTGGGAAATCAATCTATAATATATTGTCTGTCCCAGCCATCCCCCTCTCTGTCTTGTACATGTGCACACAATATAATATAATTCTATGGAGCAGAAAAGTTGTTCTGTCTTAGAAAGAGGCTAAAATAGGCTTATAATTCACAACTCCAAAAAACTTCACATGATATGATTAATGTCTTTCTGGTCTTCATGAGCATTTTTTTCCCCACATACTAAGTGACTCGACTAGTCTCCCGATAGGCTTCTCTTCTTGTTTTTTTTTTTTTTGTTTTTTTTTTTTAATTGTTTCCATCATCTTCTATGTCCAGCAACAGCTTTAACTCTGTGGTTAAAGATTATCACTGAGCAACTGTGATCATGGCCAGATTCAGCTGGTCTCTGCCTCACTCCAATTGCCATCTTTTAGCTCATTTTCAGTTCTTCGGGCTGAGATTTTCTGGTTTTATTTGAATCAATTTTGCCAGTAAAGTCTCACCAACGTTATATCAATTATAGCATCTCCAGAGCAAACACCTGTCATTTCTCAGAAGCCTTGGAGTTCCTGTTCCTTAGATAAAAGCACAGCATCTACTTTGAGATCCTAGTAGACCCTGCTGGGACTGTGGCCCAACACAGCTCTCTGGCTGAGCCCTGGGAGAAAGCTAGCTTGGCGGGGTCTCTGCCACCCCATTCACTGCCTCTGGCCTCCGGGTCTGAGCTCCACAGTCTGTGCTGACAAGCACCAGCTGCAGATCGGCCCCGCGAGAGAGTATCCTGTTTTAAAATACCAAAGTAACATTTCTCTTTGTTTTGTCTTACAGATATTGCTATATGGAGATTTGCCAAAAAATAAAGAAAATATTATATATTTAGCAAATCATCAAAGCACAGGTTTGTATTTTATTTTCATTAAAGGGGGCTTAGGTGTTTCTACAAATGATTCGGTCTGCTGTCTTTTCATGATTTTGTTGCTTTTATTCCTAATTAATTCATAGATAAGGAATAGAAAGTAAAAAATAGAAAAGCATTTTTCTCAATTTGGTGTATTGGTGATTATTTTCAAATTTATAGGATAAGAGTTGAAGCTACAAGGGACCAACAGAAATTTTTATATTATCTATGTATTTTCTGACTTTATTAATGAGACTGGCTCAGACTGTTTAATCTAATTACATTTGACTTTAAGCAAAAATAGCAAGACAATCAGGCCATGGTTAGCGTCTGTTTATAATTCTGGTCTATCCAGACACCTTGGCCTTTTCACTACTGACACAGTCCTGTTATTCCTGTTTCGCGGCTGATGGAATAATTCTACCAGGGTACAATATCCGAATAAAGATTACTTAAGGACCCAGCACAGGGAACATTTATGATAGTGTTGATTCTCCCTAGCCTTCCTTTATGTAGACCCAGTGGTTAGCCTTATGTAGAGTTTTCTTTTAGCTTAACAGGGTTCTCTCAACATTTCTTGCTCAGTTTCCCTGCCAACTTTCCTTTGTCCAGGTTTCAGTGAAATACTGTTCTGGTAACAGCTGTGATCTCAGCAGTGGCATGTGAAGAGGTCCTCTCTGAACAGAGCGGGTGGTGATAGTGGAAATGATAACAACTGCTACCCTCATTTGTGTGCTTAGCTATGTGTTGACCTTCAATAAGTTTCTTCAAAGTCAGGACTTCTAGGAAAATATTTCTGAAAAAAATAGTAGAATTTTAAAAATTCTTCTATACTTGCATTTGGAACAGAAGGTTCTATGGGAAGCATGAATGAGCTCCAGGCCCAGCCCACACTGACGTGAAAAAGTTGATTCGCAGTTGGAAACCACTACTTCTCTCTGTCTACCTTCTAGCACTGCTGTAGCATGGCTTCCAAGGCCAGTCAGCCAGGCTTGGGAAGGCTGCTTCTTGAATGCTTTTTTAAAATTTATAATTTAGAATAATTTCAGTAGTGATTTTAATTTACTTTAGAATTGGGGGCTTTAGTCCATATATAATGAAAGGCATGGAGCCTTTTCTTTAAAAAAATGCACAAATGAAAATTTGCATATTGTTTTAAGGCTCCAAAAAGTCCTAAAGCCTAGCTGTGGACATGTTTTATTGTTCTGTTGTATTTAGGTACTGTTTAAAAAAAGTCTTTTGAGATACTAAGAATCACAACAGTGTATTTCTGAAAGTGTAATTAACAGAAGGAATATTTCAAGTACTGCTGTTCAGCTTAGACTTTGTAGTTGGACCTCTGGTTGGCTTGCCAGAATAAATGAGTGTCCTGGCCTGATACTCAAAAGAATTAGCATTTAAATTTGTCTCTCTCCTCCTCTGTTTTCACTTGATATGTCCTTGCTATCTCTACATTCTTAGTCTGTGTTAACTTATTTCTCTCCAGGGTCATCAAGGGTATAGTGGCTGTTACTCTTTCCTCATCCTCCTTTAACTGTCTCTTGTTTTGATACTATACTTTTTTTTTTAATTTAAAATTTTATTGCCAGAGGGCATGAGTGAGAGAGAGAGAATGGAAAAAAGAGAAACTTTTAGTGAGATATGGTCATGCCACAATACTGTTTCCTCCACCTGTACATCCTGTCAAGATTTGAGACATGCATTCTTATGTGCCTGATGTATTTTTCAAGCTTCCAAGGCTGGGGTTCAGACCACTGTTGGCCCTATGACATCCACCTTCAACAGATAGCACTTAGCCTTCTGTTCTATGAGACCAATGCACTGTTTTTCTTTTTCTTTTTTTTTTCAAAGAACCATTTTATTTAACTTTATTTAATATTATTTTCCAATTTGATCAGAGAGAGACAGAGAGAGAGGAGAAGTGAGAAAGCAAGCCACCAGGTCTAGACTTGAACCATGTTCCATGGGTGTTATATGGCAGTTTTCTGGGTGTTATATGGCAGTTTTCCTGGCTAACAGCATATGTGGTGAATAGACTATCATAAAAAAGTGTGGAGTTAGAGAGTCGTAATTCATTGCTGTCCCACAGTAGGCTTTGTATCAATGGACAAATTACTTAAACTCTCAGAGGCTTAATTAATAAGGTGTGAGTATTATCTACTGATCATAATCTATCTCTTAATCCACTGAGTACATAGTTTAGGTGACTTTTTTTTTTTTAATTTGTCAGTCAAAGAAACAGAGGGAATATGAGAAAGTAGCCCTTATGGGGGGTAGCCATGCCACAATCCCTTATCATCTATTTCTCTCCCTTTTTGGGATTTTGGGTATGCACAGACATGCACACAGTGTGTTTTTCAAGTGTCTGGATCCAGGACTCAAACCATGCAGTCAGCCATGTGGGATCCAGCTGTCTTAATCACCTTGGCACCAGCTAGCCCTCTAGGTAGCATTTAATGCAGTAGTTATGATGATAGTAATTGCTTACGATGATAATAGTGCTGGATCCATGGCAGGTAAGTGCTTTATGTCCAAAGCTCTTTTAGACTGAACAGTATCTTTATGAATTAGGATGTATGATTATATAATGATGTAGATTAGGAAAATAAACTGCTATAGGGAAAGGAAAGGAAATTTTTCCTCCCTCTTTGAAGGTCCATTGAAAATCACTGACAGCAAATTTAAGAGAAGGCATATAAATTTAATGTCTACATATGTACACAAGAACCACAGAAACTATAAACTCAGGCCCAGCAATGGTGGTACAGCAGTAATACAGCACTCTGCAGGGCTGGCCACCGTATTTGGAATATCAGAACTCAGTTCCCAGGTTGACTTGTACATGCCATTCACATATGCCTGTGCCAGCAATCCTAGCTGGCTGAAAGGCTGGGGAATATGGGGCAACATGACGTAAGACCTTCTTGAGGGTTCTCATCTCTCTCTCTCTCTCATTTAATACATAAGTAGAAATAAATAAACATTACATAATTTTTAAAAATATGAATTCAAGAGGCTGGTAGGTGGCGTGCTGTTAAGAGCGCTGAAATCCACATGGCCAGCCATGGTTTGAGTCCCAGACCTGGTGTCTTGCTTTCTCATTTTCTCTCTCTCTGTCCCTCTCTGGTCAAATTAAAAATAAATAAATAACTAAAGTTTTTTTTAAAAAACATTTAAAAAATATATGAATTCAAAAGGGTTCCAAACTGTTGAGGCTTATGTACCCTCTTCATAGAGGAGTAACGGGTGCTGACCATTTTAGAGTAAGTGATTTTAGAGGGAAGAAATAGGTCCAGTGCTCAGACAGTGGTGAATAAATGATTCCTTTGGGGAGTTGGTGGGCCTGTGAGACAAGAGAGTAAGTAGCTTATGACAAAATCTGACCAGGTGTCTTGATATTTCTCAGTCTTCCTTTCTGGAGTATGAATTAGTTAAATGAAATCTCAGGGAGGCAGCAGAAGATAATTGTTTTCCTCTTTGATGGATCTGGTCTTTAGGTAAGTCATGGAATATCAGTAAATCTCTTCCTTGAGCTTTTGGAGTTAAAGAAGATCAAAACTGATCAAAAGGCAAGAGTCGGGAGTGGAAAGGTCAAAGAGAGAGCTTGTTTCTGAGGCTATTTCTTTAATTCAGCTCATCAAAGTGCTGGTCTTGGGGGGATCATTTTTTGGTACCCAACCATGCCCTCCTCTGCTCTCTTCCAAGTTAAGAGGAGCAACGGTACTGTGCTGGCTGGATCACCACTAAAGAATTCCTAACTAGCTGTATGTATTTATATTGGAAGTTATTCATGCCTACAACATGACTTCGTGCTGTACTTATTGGTAGAACACACAATAGGAGCAGTTATTGTAAAGGTATTACTATCTCAGCTATCAATAACTCAGCTATTATATAATCTAATGTCACTGAAACCTAGCTGAAAATAAACAGAAATAAAATAGATTAGGAGCAAATACTAATAATTTTGAAACAAGTATTGATGGCATAAAGCATGTGTCTTTTTTTTTTCTTTAAGCATGTGTCTTTTAACTACTCAAGTTCTTTTTTTTTTTTTTTGGAGAGGTTTTCACTATAGGGCGTGTGCACTCGCCAGAGAGACAGAGAGAGACATAGGGACAGAAAGCGAGAAATCACCCCCCAGGGGGGATGGTCACACCGCAATCCCTTCTCCTCCATTCTCCTCTCGGGATCTTGGGCACGCACGCACATGTACCCGGCATGAGATTTAAGCCACCGGATCCGAGACGCGAACCGTGGTCGACTACGTGGGAGTCCAGTGACATAACCATTACGCTAACTGCTGGTTCTCTCAAGTTCTTAAATGTTTCTACTAAAAGTTTCAAGTTTAAGTGCATATTCCAGGGCAGTTTATTATGAACATGACCTATTTTAGAAATGTTACACTTTCTCTTAAAAAGTTCTTGGAGAATGTATTTGAAGCCATAACATACCATGATTGTTTTAATATAGAAATACATTTTTTATTCCTCTAAACTTAAAAAAAATTGTTATAAAAAAAAGATACTGGACCAGCAGTTAGCATAATAGCTGTGTGGCTGAACTCCCATGTAGCCAACTGCGGTTCGAGTCCTGGACCTGGTGGCTTAAACTCATGCCGGGCTCATGTGCATGCGTGCCCAAGGTCCTGAGAGAAGAATGCAGGAGAAGGAACTGCAGTATGACCATTCCCCCTGGGGGTGATTTTTCACTTTCTATCTCTTTGCCTCTCTCTGTCTTCGGGTGAGCCCCCGCGCCCAAAAACAAAAACCCCCAAAAAAAAAAAAAAAAAAAAAGAAAAGAAAATATACCAAATGTGTGTTTGAGTATTACACCCCAAATAAGTTCCAGAATATACTTTTAACCTGGGAAGCATACAGAACCACAGAGAACAAAATTAGTTCTCAGAAGTCATTTTTTTCTCTTTTTTTTGGGGGGGGAGGTTTTAGCTATAGGGCGCGTGCGCTCACCAGAAAGACAGAGAGATAGAAAACGAGAAATCACCCCCCAGGGGAGATGGCCACGCCACAATCCCTTCTCCTCCATTCTCCTCCTGGGATCTTGCGCATGCACACGCGCCCTGCGTGAGTTTAAGCCGCCGGGTCTGGGACTTGAACAGTGGTTGACTACATGGGAGTCCAGTGACATAGCCATTATGCTAACTGCTGGTCCCAGAATTCATTTTTTCTTTGCTATAGGGCACGTGCACTCACCGGAGAGACAGAGAAAGACAGAGACAAAAAGTGAGACATCACCCCCCTCCCCCTAGGGGGATAGCCACACTGCAGTCCCTTCTCCATTTTCCTCTCAGGATTTTGAGCATGCATGACACGCACCTGGTGTGTTTTAAGCCACTGGTCCAGGACTTGAACCGTGGTCGACTATGTGAGAGTCCAGTGATGTAAACATTACACCATCTGCTGGTCCCAAGTTCTCAGAAATTTTTAAAGAATCTGTTTCCTTTGCATTAGGTACAATTGTAACAGATTTGATTATATGGTTTCCAAGATATGATTAGAAATAAATGTGTTTATCAATGATTATTTTTTCTGAATTTGAAGTAGCTAAGGAGAGGGCTTATATAAGAAGTTATAGACTTTAGAGGAAAGTGATAAAGCTAATCCAACAGTGTGGCTATCTCAAACTAGTAGATACTGCTACCAAGGATATACACAGTAGGGGAAAATATTTGCAGGCATTATTCCCATTATAGGGAGCCATAACCATATAGGTATATATAAAATTATAACTCTAAAATCAATGAAAATTAATCTTTGAATGATAATCTTCAATCAAAAAGAGATGTATAGAGACTGGCAGATGATGTGGTGGTTAAGAGTGCTGTATTCCCAGATGGCCAACCAGGGTTCTAGTCCTGAACCTGGTGACTTGCTTTCTCTCTCTCTCTCTCTGTCTCTCTCTCACTCACTCTGTCCTGCTCTGGTCAAAATAAAATAAAGTTAAATAAAATAATTCATTTTTTTAAAAAAGATATATATATAGTAATTACATTTTTCTAGATGTTTAATTTTTAGTGTTTAAATGGAAAAATCTTCTTTGATATAGTCTATCTAGTATAGTGCATTGTCTACAGGGTTTCACATAACTGAGAGTAAATCTGTGAGAAATTGTCCCTTTTAGTTAAAACTTATTTAAATTCTTTAAATTGCTTGTATTTATTTCCTATAGTGTTTTTTTTTTTTTTATTATATACTCCCCTTCTGATTCACTCCTTTTTTTTCTCACATGTATAGCCCTAAGCACACTTATGATACCAGGATTATATATACTTTTTTTTAATTGCCAGAAGGCATGTGCATTCCTCAGCGAGGGACAGAGAGAGATGGAGAGTGAGAAAGCACCCCAGTGGGCATGCTCATGCTACAGTCCCTGTTCATTTTGCCATCCAGTCAGGATTTTGCATGTGCATGCACACACACCCAGCATGTTTTCTGAGGCACTGGGGCTGGGTTCAAACTGGTTAGCCATGTAGGATCTGGCTCCCTTAACCATTAAGCCACAGGTCTGATCCCACAGTTGCATTTTTTATACAGATTCTTAATTTTCAAGTGTCTCATCCTTGAATTCATCTCCAGATACTAGAAAAGTCTCCCTTCCATTTTGTTTCATATTTTCATTCTCACTAAGAGATTGGGTAGTGGGACCAGCAAGTGGAGTGGTGGTTAAGACGATGGACTTCTACAGGACCAACTGTAATTCAAGTCCCGAACCCTGTGGCTTAGTTTCTCACTTTCTCTCCCCGTCTCTCTCTGGTAAGCATACATGCCTGTCCTATATCAAATTAGAAGAAAATAATAATAAATAAAATGAAACCTTAAGTAAAGAGGGTAGTTTGCATCATATTCTTTCAAATCTAAGTTTCTCTGGTTCTCAAGACCATTATCCCTTTTAATTTCATTTTATTTCCTCTTAATTTATTTAAATCATCTAATCTGTTGACCATTTTTTGCACTCAGTTTGCTGTTTGTGTTTATTTGCTTTTGACAAGGGACAGTTTCTCTACTTGGAATTCTTTTGAATTTGAAAGCTCAATTAACAACTTGCTTCTAGGAAATTTTCTGTTGCCGTAATAAACTCACTCATGCCTTCTTACACTCTTATGGTAATACTATATCTATATAATTATATTCATCGGCAGCATGGAACCATGGCCTTTGGTTATGTAAAGAACACCTGTTTGCCTAGCACAGTTAGAAGGCACAGGAGACCTTTGCTTGAATGCCATTGTGACTTTGTACTGTGTCCTGAAACTTATTAGTAAAGATAAAATGCTTTGTCTTTTATTGAACATATCTATATAGAATATTTAGTTCTTGATAATTTCATTTATCTACTTTTTGCTCATAATTTTCACCTTTTTATTAAAAACATCTTTAGGTTTGTAGACTTCAGAAATTAAAGAAGTTATTTTATTTCTTGTACATGCCATTGTTTGATTACTTCAATGTTCAATGTTTTGTGACTTGTATTTTGCCCATGAATAAAAAGGTTTTCAGTAAATGTTAAAGCAAACAAAAACCCTGAAGAATTTATATCTTTATATTTCTGGGATTTATTTAAAATATTCTAATCATAGTATTTAAAACCATTCTTAATATAGTGCTGTGATGAGGCTTTTTGTTCTGTGAGGGACTGTTGGAGTGGACATACAGATCACAGATGTGTTAATAGGGTTCTGTCTTTACAGTTGACTGGATTGTTGCTGACATTTTGGCCATCAGGCAGAATGCTCTTGGACATGTGTGCTATGTGCTGAAAGATGGGTTAAAATGGCTTCCATTGTATGGGTATTACTTTTCTCAGGTAACACTTTTTCACTTTTTAAATATATATGTGTGTGTATGTATATATATATATAAATATACACTTATATATGTAGTTTTAGAAATTTGACAATAAAATTTTAATGAAAACTTAATTAAACGTGTGGGGTTTTTTTAAAAAAAGGATTTAATGGTTTATCCTAAATTGAAGTATTTTTTTAATTACAAATATTTTATTATCTGTATAGTTAAATGAAATAGCAGAAATGCAAATGTATAAAAGTCAACTTACAGACACTTTAAAGGCCTAGACTTTGATAGGTGACTACCACATAAGACTAATGATGAAAGTATTTAGTGATATGTAGGATATTTTTAAAAATGAACAATGCATATAAATTGCTTAGCATTGAATTTATTTGGAGAGTTTTTTTATTTTTTATTTTTGGCTACAGGGTATGTGCGATTGCTAGAGAAAGAGAGACAGAGAGATCGAAAGCGAGAAATCACCCTCTGGGGGAGGATGGCCACGCCACAATCCCTTCTCCTCCATTCTCCTCTCAGGATCTTGGGCACGCACACACACACGCCTGGCATGAGGGTCTGAGACTCAAACTGTGGTCTACTACATGGGAGTCCAGCAACACAGCCATTATGCCAACTGCTGGTCCTAGCATTAAATTTATTTTCTCAGGCCAGCCAGATGGTGGCTAAGGCAACTGGATCTCACATGGCCAACTTTATGGTGTGAATCCTGGACCTGATGACTTGAAAAAATATGCCAAACACATGTTTATTTGTACCCAAGATTTATAGAGGAGAGTGGAGGAAAAGGGATTGTAATGTGGTCATCCCTCTGGGGGAGGTTTTCTCATTTTTTTTCTCCCCCTTTCTGTCTCCCTCTGGTGAGTGCATGAGCCCTATAGTAAACTGGGAAAGCAAACAAACAAAAAGAAATAAAATAAACTTCCTCACACTTTAAAAAATTTAGCTTTATTTTATTTATTATTATTTTTTAAAGTTTGCTGTAGGGTATGTGCACTCACCAAAGTGAAAGAGAGAGAGAGAGTGAGAAAGCAAGTCACCGGGTCTGGGACTCAAACCATAATTGGCAATGTGGGAATCTTGTGTCTTAAGCACCACACCACCTGTTGGACCCTCTCATAGTTCTTGAGTCTAAAAGTTCAAGATCATGGTGTTGCCAAGGTTCCTTACTTCTGAGACCTCTTCTGAGGCTCACATATGGTACTCTTCTTGTTACGTCCTTACATAATCTTTTTCTTTGTACACCTGTATCTCTGGGATCTTTTCCTCTTTTTAGAAGGACACTGGACACATTGGATTAGGGCCTCACCTTATGATCTAGCTTAATTTTCTTTTTTTCAGAGAGCGATTTTTGCTATAGGATGCATGCACTCACCAGAAAAAGAGAGAGGAACAGAGACAGAAAACAATAAATCACCCAGCAGGGGGAATGGCCATGCCACAATCCCTTCTTCTTCATTCTCCTCTTGGGATCTTGGGCATGCACGCACATGTGCCTGGTGTGAGTTTAAGCCTCCGGGTCCAAGACTTGAACCGTGGTCGACTCCTTGGGAGTCCAGTGACATAACCATTACTCTATGTGCTGGGATTGATTTATAGTAATTTAAAATATTCTAATCATAGCATAATATGATCTAGCTTAATTTTAATCTCTTTTTTTTATTTAGGTTTTTGCCATAGTTTTTGCACATGTGTTTGTAGGAGAGAAACAGAGACAGTGAGGGTGAAAGTGAAAAATTATTCTCCAGGGAAATGGCCATGCAGTTCCCTCTCTTCCATTCTCCTTTCAGGTTTTGAGCATGCACATACATTTGCCTACTGTGAGTTTCAAGCCACTGGGTCTGGGATTGGAACTGTGGTGAGCTATGGGAGTCCAGCGCCTTAACCACTACTCTACCTGCTGGCCTCTTTAATCACCTTTTTAAAGGCCCTGTCTCCAAAGAGTTACATTGGATGTTAGAATTTTTGGATTTTTTTATTTTTTTATTTTTTGAGAGGTTTTGGTATAGGGTGCATGCGCTCGCCAGACAGACAGAGAGAGACAGAGAGACAGAAAGCGAGAAATCACCCCCCAGAGGGGATGGCCACGCCACAATCCCTTCTCCTCCATTCTCCTCTCGGGATCTTGGGCACGCACGCACACGCATGCACATGCACCTGGCGTGAGTTTTAAGCCACCGGGTCTGGGACGTGAACCGTGGTCGGCTATGTGAGAGTCCAGTGACACAGCCATTACACTAACTGCTGGTCCCAGAATTTTTGGGTTTTGAAGGAACATAATTCCATCCATAACAGTGCTGCATACATATCTAACTAGGTTGATTTTTGAAATCCCTAAAGATTGTGACTGTTGACATTTTAAGGATGCGTTTTGGAAAAATAGGGAGTTAAGATCCATCTGATTGCTGAAGATTTTTATTTTTAAAATGTATTTTTAATAAAAAAGCATTTTGGGGACCAGCAGATGGTGTAATGGTTATGTTGCTGGACTCTCATATGGTCTACTGTAGTTCAAGTCCCAGAACTGGTGGCTTAAAACTCACACCAAACATGTATGTATGTGTGCCCAGAATCACCAGAGGAGAATGGAAGAGAAAGGATTGCATTATGGCCATCCCCCGAAGGGGATGATTTCTTCTCTTGGGATCTTGGGCATGCACGCACATGTGCCTGGTGTGAGTTTAAGCCACCGGGTCCAAGACTTGGAATGCGGTTGACTACGTGGGAGTCCAGTGACAGCCATTACGCTAACTGCTGGTCCCGTCAAAGACTTTTTCAAGCTACTGGGTCTAGGTCTCAAATTGTGCAGTCAGAAATATGGGAACCAGCCACCTTAACCACCCCACCACCAGCTAGCCTGAAAAAAAGGCGTTTTTAATTTTAACTGCCCATAAAACTAAATATTCCTGTGTTTTCCAATACAGTGTAGCATGCAATTTTGTTTGAATTATGTTGATACAGAGGAATTTCCATTTAAATGTTCTGTATTTGCCAATATTTGAATGTATTATATATAGTTTCAATTCTGAAGTATAGTTTTATTCTTTTTAAGAGTAATTTTTTTTGATGACTATTGCCATTGGTTCTTTTAAGAGTAAATCCTTTTTTCTGCAATTGTTTTATGTGGCAGCATGGAGGAATCTATGTAAAACGAAGTGCCAAATTCAATGAAAAAGAAATGAGAAACAAGCTGCAGAGCTATGTGAATGCAAGAACTCCAGTAAGTTCACACCCATTTTTATTTATTTCTTATTAACTATAATTTTTTAAGACTTAAATTTAACCATCATCATGAAAATATATGTATTAATTTATGATGCAACTAAACCCTTCTAAATCTAGGTAAGCAATTTTTTTTTGTTTTTGTGTTTTTTTTTCTTCCAACAGGACTGCTGCAGATGATTAGATCCTTTGCTAGTGGTTGTCAATGTTGACCTTTAAAGAATGAAAAGACTTTGGTGTCTTTCAGAGCCTATAAATATAAAGTAGAACTGCACTTGTAACCCTACATTTAAAGTATGTTAAGAGCTTGCGTTAACTTCTTACATCCTTTAGTATCAGATTTCATTTTTGAAGCAGCAACTGTTCCTGTTTGTCTAGATAAGGATTTCTTGTAATACTGAGCAATTAAGAAATCGAAAAAAGTACGACATCTACAAATGAAGAAGTCATTCTCTGTAAATATTATTTTATAAAACTTTGCTTAAAAAATAAAAATGGAGTGTCAGTCTTTTATTTGAAGATTGCTAATGGCTGCCAAATGATCTTTTTCCACGACTTCCTACTAGGGCAAAACAACATGATTGCAGTGACGGGCTTTATCTTTCAGTGTATTACAAGTGCTCAGAAATTTAGCTCACATACACCAATTATTCTGTCATTCATGCCCCCTCTCTGCTTCCTCCACCCCTTTTGTGCTCCCCTCACTGGGCCTCATAAGCAGTAGCCAGAGCTCATATTCAGATAATTCTCCAGTCTTCTGATGAAGTCACCGTTTACTCATAAACATTTTCTAAATGTTACATTAGGCATTTGGATCCTGTTTCAAGGTGGTGGTAGTATGGCTCATCGGAAAAGTCATGACACATTTTTACATAGAAAAGCATTAAAGATGCTCATGACTTTCTGACACCCCGGTACAATGTGATGTTATAGCTCACCCTCAAAGAAAGCATGGCATTTTGAAAGGATCTATTTAATTTAAACAATATGATGAATTTTTGGCAGAATTGGGGTCATTGTAGATCTCTAAAAGACAGAATAGCCTAGCAATATGTATATCTAATTTCTTTTTTAAAATTTAAAATTTAGAAAACATGGATTTATATGTTCGTGTTTATCCTACTTGTCTTCAGCTACCTAGTCACATAACTTCTGTGGGGTTTCTTATATATTCTGCTGTTGATGCTATATATAAAAAACAAACAAATAACAGCCTCTTTCTGCTTGAATGTTAGCATTCTACAGTTTGCCTTTGTTTTTCTTCTCCCAGTAAATATAATTGTCAGTAGTGTCAAGATTGAGAAAGTACTATGTGTAGTTTATGTGTCTTTTTATCCTCTGGCTTCCTTCATGAGTTTTGTCTTGGTTTTAGTTTTATAGCTGGTGAAATATTATATGTCTACTTATTTATGTATTTATTTTAAAATTTATCCTGGTTGATCCTTTCTGAACTTGGATCTATGGTTTAGTATCTGTCATTAATTTGGGGAAATTCTTGGCCTTTATTAAATATTTCTTTAAATATTATTCCTTCCCTGTGTTTTCTTTCTTCTCTAATTATATATGTATTGGGTCAGTTGATACTGTTCTGCAGCTTTAGATGCTTTATTCTGTTTTAAACTTCTTTGTGTGTATGTGTGTGTGTTGAGTTTGGATAATTTCTGTTGATGTATCTTCAGCTTGAGCTGATTCTCCCCTCTGCTATATCAGGTCTACTGCTATGCCAGTTAAGGCATTCTTCATCTCTGCTACTGTCTTCTTCATTCTTTGTATTTCCCTTTGATTCTTTCTCCTAGTTTCTCTCTCTGATCATGAAGATTGTCCACCTTTTCCACTAGAACATTTACTTTTTTACTCACAGTTATTTTAAATTCCCTGTCTGATAATTCTGGCATTTATGTTAAATCTGAATGTGGTATATTTGATCACCTTATCTCTTCAAATTGTGTTTTATCTTGCTGATTCTATGCTACTTATGATTTCCTTGAAAGTTGGGTATTGTGTAGGACAGTAGTGACTAAGATGATCATATTGATGCCTGGAAATGAATATAACTTTCTTTTTTTGCTAGGCCTTTCATGTGAAAGTTTGAGTCAATTCAGTCAGGAGCTGTACTGGATTTGTTTTTTGCACTTGCTGTGATTTTTCTCACAGGCTTCAAATTCCTGTACCATTCAAAAATTTGTGTTTAGGAATGGGAGAGGTTTTATTGGGGAGTTTTTTCTTAGTGTCTGTTCCATGCTTAGATTTTTCAAGATACCTCAGAGTGAGTTTCCTTTCTGTACCTCTCTTAACAGTAGTCCTCTGATACTTGTTATTGGTGGTAGAGGGAGCGGGAAGAGAGATGTCTTGTATTCTGATTAAGTCTTAGGGGGCATCTTGGGAGTAGAGCCTTCTCTGACTGTGCTTTGCTTTTAACTGTAAATCTATGCCTAGGTTCCTGCCCCTTTCTCTGTAGAGGGTTGGTTTTGCCTCCTCCTGCCTCACTGGGTTGTCATCCATATCCAAATGGTAGCAAGATTTTGTTACTCTCCTTCTAGCAATTTAAAGCTGTTCTGTAGGAAAAATACCACATGTATATGTTTATGTGATTTTATTTCTCATTGGTTTCTGATCATACATGTAGTACTTCTTCCATAGTTAAATTATAAATTCACTGAAGGAAGAGATTGTTATTTTGTAACCTGTCACATTTTTGCATTTTTTTCCTCTGTAAATGTATAGTGAAATTTTTAATGAATTGAGTACTTCTTCTGATCATAATTGTAGAAAATTTTTTGAAATTTGTGGTTTGTTGGATTGGATTAATTTAGGGGGCATATTCTATGTATCTCAATGTAAAATACCTTTTTATTTAAAGGGAAAGCAAAAATTAAAAGATGTATAGCTAATCAAAGTGTATTGAGTTCTAAGATACTTCTATATACATGTGCTTGCTCTAAAAACTATTCAGTAAACAAGAGAGAATTTTTGAAAACCTATTTTGAGTTTTGAAAGAGGGAGGAAACTTAATACTAAAAGCCTGCCATATAGTACTTACTATTTTCATATAGTTCCATTCTTTAAAAATGTAATTTCTGACTTACATATAATCGTTGTATGTCTTTATGGGGTACAGTCTGGTTCTTTGAGCTTACAACGTATAATAAGTAAATCAAAGATATACGCATATTCATCATCTTCACTTTTTTTTTACTACAAAGATTTTTATTAAATTACAGTATATTACAGTTTAAGTCCTAATAAGCTTTTCATCCTTGGGATAATGTGATATAAACCTCCTCAGCCCCTTCACACCTTGAGTCTATTCTAGGTGGCTTTCTTGACCATCTATAGTCACTTCATAGCCCCGAGCCAAAGATGCATCTAGTTGAGGTGTGATTCCTGTGAGGTAAGGCCTTTAAGGGATGCTGAGGGAGTGCTGCTTTGCACTGAGGTGGCCTTGCGTCACCACTGCTTGGCCTGGCTGGCCCACTATTCCTGTTCCCACTGAGCTGGCTGCTGCTTCCTGGGACTAAACTACTTGGACTAGGAAGATCTACCCTGCTGACGTTGTCACAGCTGAGAGACTAAGGCCCGCTTTGCCCAGGGTTAGTGGTGGAGGTGGTTTTGGTGGCACAGTGAGTGTAGGGCTGTTACTGGAACCTATTTTGGAACTGATTCCACTTTTGGATGATGTTACCAGACCTGTCAAACCCACAGGCTTCTGGTTAGATGATGAAGCAGCAGGTTTCCCACTGCTGTTTTGTGTCATCGAGCCCCATTTTGCTGTTGAGGGACCAGCGGAGAAAGTTTTGACTGCCAAAAACTGCCCATCCAGTTAGGCCACTTGTTTCTGATATGTAAATACTGGTGCTAGAAGAAGTTCCTGAAATCACCATAGATGTCCTGACTTCTGTTTTCTTGAATGCCAGAAAAGTTGTTTCTGGTTTCTTAACTAGTAGATCTTTGACAGATGGAGCTACAAACACAACAGTGGGGGCTGGCTTCTGGGTTTTTTGAGCCATTCTTTTTATTTGTCTGGTGCACCCATCTAACAAATACTGAGTGTCACAATACCACAGCAGGCGAGGAAGATCAAGGATCATTCACTTCCTTGTCTGTCACTTGGGGTTTGTGGCAATCTTGGTGGTAGAAATTATGGCATTCTTGACATTCTACTAATTGATTCCCAGATATCACCATCATTTGCCTGCAAACCACTCAGGCCAGTCCCATCTCCACGGCAAAATCATCAGCACTGGTCTCCTCCAAGCTGGAAAGGTTAGCCACAGCTAAATCCTTGCTGGTTTGGACATAATAGGAGAGGAGCGTGTCTCTGACTTCTCCAGTCTAGGTTTCTTGGAAATACCAGCTCCTTCGGTGATGTCTGATTTCATTTTATCAGCAGGTCTTTTTTTAGCTTCCTTCTTCACCTTTTCAGTTGTAAGGACCTTGCCATTAATATTGCCAGGAGGAAACTGGATGACACTTTGGGTTCTGGCTTAATGGAAATCGGTTCTGTGCCTGAAATTTTGGGTGACTCCATGTCCTTTTGAAATGGACGGTAACTTGAATCAATGCCCTGAGCCAAAGATGCATCTAGTTCTTTTAGATTTTCAGCATAAACTTTATTCTTGGAATGTAAGAGACCCAGTGCCTTCAAAAAAAATAGGATCAAGCTCCAGGTTCACAGTAGCAGCCATTGCAAACACTGCTCCAGCCCACCACTGTCGGTTTCCCCATAATTTTCATCATCTTTTTAATAATTTTTCCTATCTTTTTAAAAAATTATTATTTAATTTTATTTATTATTTTATTTTTATTTTTATTTGAGAGAGACTTTTGCTATAGGGCATGTGTGCTCACCAGAGAGACAGAAAGTGAGAAATCATCCCCTGGGGGATTGACCAATCACAGCCCCTTCTCATTCTCCTCTTGGGATTTTGGGCACACACGTACATGTGCCTGGCATGAGTTTCAAGCCGCTAGGTCCAGGACTCAAACTGTGGTCGACTA